CTTTCCTTTTTAAAAAACAAATGAGGTAATGTACTGTAAGAATTCTATTCAATCAGCTTAACTAAGGAAGTAAAGGATCTGTACAAAGAAAACTACAAAAACGCTACTTCAGGAAATAAAAGAGGATACAAAGAAATGGAAAAATATCCCCTGTACATGGATAGGGAGAATTAACATTGTCAAAATGGCAATACTTCCCAAAGCACTGTATAAATTCAACGCGATCCCTATTAGGATACCCATGACATTCTTCAAAGAAATGGAGCAAATACTCCTGAAATTTATATGGAACAATAAGCCCCCACGAATAGCTAAAGCAATTCTTGGGAAAAAGAAAATGGGAGGAATCAACCTCCCGAACTTCAAACTGTACTACAAAGCAGTAATAATTAAAACAGCACAGTACTGGAACAATGGCAGAGCTGTAGACCAATGGAACAGGGTTGAATATACTGACATCTCCCCCCAAGCATGCGAGCATCTAATCTTAGATAAGGGGGCAAAAAAAGTGAAGTGAAGCAGGGAAAGCCTCTTTAACAAATTGAGCTGGCAAAACTGGACGGCTACATGCAAAAAAGTGGGCTCAGATCTTTGTCTAACTTCATGTACAAAAGTAAGATCAAAATGGAATAAAGACCTCAACATCAGACCGGAATCCATAAGGTATACTGAAGAAAAAGTTGGCAAAACCCTCCATGACATCGAAGCTAATGGTATCTTCAAAGATGTCATGCCACTGGCCAAGCAAGTGAAAACAGAGATAGACAAATGGGACTATCTTAATCTAAGAAGCTTCTGAACCTCCAAAGAAACAGTGACCAAAATACAAAGACAGTCTACAGAATTGGAAAGGATATTCGCCAAATAGACATCCGACAAAGGGTTGATATCAAGGATATACAAAGTACTGGTTGAACTCCACAAAAAGAAAACATCCAACCCCATCAAAAAATGGGGAGATGAAATGAATAGAAACTTTCACAAAGAAAAAATCCGAATGGCTAAAAGGCACATGAGAAAATGCTCCATATCATTAATTACCAGGGAGATACAGATCAAAACCACAATGAGATATCATTTCACACCACAGAGACTGGTCCATATCCACACAAACAAAAGCAACCGGTGCAGGCGCGGATGTGGTGAGAAAAGGGACCCTCCTTCACTGTTGGTGGGAATGCCGACTGGTTCAGCCCTTTTGGAAAACAGTATGGACGATTCTCAAAAAATTAGAAATTGAGCTCCTATTTGACCCAGCAATACAACTCCTGGGAATTTATCCCAGAGAGGCAAAAAAGTATAGTCGAAGTGACATCTGCAATTGTTTGTTCATTGCAGCACTCCTTACAATAGCCAGAATCTGGAAAAAACCTGAGAGGCCGAGAACAGACGACTGGTTAGGAAACTTTGGTACATCTACACAATGGAGTACTATGTAGCTGTTAGAAAAGACGAAATCATGAAATTTACATACAAGTGGTACTACATGGAAAGTATCATATTAAGCGAAATGACTAAGAAAGAAAGGGATAGACATAGAAAGATTGCATTCATCTGGGGAACATAAAGTAACAAAATAGGAGACTAACACTCAAGAATGGCCAAGATTAGTACCAGGAATTTTACTCCATGACTTGGTGGACAATTGACACATGAAAAATTGCTCATCAAAACTTGTTATCAAGTAATTACATATCAAAATGACAAGATCACCTCATGCCAGTAAGAACTGCCTATATCCCAAAAGAGCCAAAAACAGTAAATGCTGACAGGAGTGGGGAGATAGGAACCCTCTTTTACTATTGATGGAAATGCAATTTGAATTAGCCAATATGCAAAACTGCATCTACATATCAAAAATAATAAAAATAGAATTACAATAAGATCCAGGAATTATTCTTCTAAGCTTGTATCCCAAGAATTTAAAAAAATACTAATATATAAGTATGCATGAATACATGTCATTGTTGCAGTGGTGTTTATAGTATCCAAAATCTATAATCAATCCAAGTCCCCTACAACAGATGAGTGGATAAAAAAGATGTCTGTATACACAATGAAATGATGCTGATCTATATCAGAAAGTTGAAATATAGCTTTTTGTTACAGACTGGATGGAAATGGAAGGTGGTGTGCTTAGCCATTAAATCAGAAAAAGAAAAACGAGTACCTAAGATCTCACTCAGAGAGAGAGAGAGGTAAGTGGAAGAGAAAATGTTCGCTGAAGCAAACCATTAAAGCCTCATCACACAAATAAGGTGTCAAGGGGAGTAGATGTAGGCTAATACAATCCAATGGATTAGTGTTATTTACATTTTGGTGATAGGCATGGTGTGGTAAGGTTGTACCCCTAAAAACTATAATCACGCTTGTAAAACAATTTTACCTCAATGAAAGATAAATAAAAACATAAAAGGCCAGGGGCTGGAGCGATAGCACAGCGGGTAGGGCGTTTGCCTTGCATGCAGCCAACATGGCCGACCCAGGTTCGATTCCCAGCATCCCATATGGTCCCCCGAGCACCGCCAGGAGTAATTCCTGAGTGCATGAGCCAGGAATAACTCCTGTGCATCGCCGGGTGTGACCCAAAAAAAAGCAAAAAAAAAACATAAAAGGCCAGAAAGATAGTATAGAGGTTAAGGTGTTTGCCTTGTACTGGTCAATTCTGTTCCCAGATACTACATAAGGTCTACACTGCCAGATACTATATAAGGTCTACACTGCCAGGAGATTCCAGCACTGCCAGGAGTGATCCCTGGACAACATATATATGCACATACATATGCATTATGGGGTTAAATAAAGAATATTAGCGTATATTTGGGTAGAAAAGGAGGGATTTTCTGAAGTCAACTATACATACCAATTAAAAATGTAACTGAAAAATAACAAAGATGATTATATTTTTAAATATAAACTATAAAAAACAAGACATTAATTTAGCCTATTTAGTCTAAGAATGTTGCCTTAAGGCAATTCTTTTTGGGGTGATGTCCTTCTCTTGCCTTCTTTTTCCCAGGTTTTTCATCTCAATAGTATCAATGAAGGGTTTCTTTTTTTGGAGATGACTAGAAGAAGTGTTGCATGTTATGAACATAGGATTTTTTTTCTATAGACAGAGGGGGAAAATTCCTATCCAAAACAATTTCCACAAACTAAAGAGAGATGTTTTTGGAAAACCTGAGTTGATCTTAACCTTACAGAATTCTTCTCTGAAAAAAACTTTTAGTTGAGAATTCAAGTTGAAACTAGTGATTGTATAAAATATCTAAAAACTATGTGTTGATTTTATCTACAAATATTAATTATGTATTTTGTATTGATTCTTCAGCTTTTATCTTTTAAACTGAGATTTTATAATTTTTTAATTATGGAGGCAGCAACCCTCAACACTTTTGTGGCACAGAATACTATTAAAATCTATTTTATAGTTCTCCAATCATTAAAATAGCATTACTGGAACAGTTAAAAAGAAGTCTTTGCCCACTGGTGGGGGCAAATGCTACCCATATGTGGTAGTTAGTTTAATGGAATAAGGGAAAAAACCAAGCAGGGCGCTGTGTTTTATTTGACCCTCTGATCATTCAACTCTTCACTGGGAGTCCCTTACAGCTGTCAATGTTGACCTTCCAGTGCACTCAAGAAAGTATACAACCTGTGCCCCAGTTCATAGACAAAAATGACTTTGGAAATTAATCTTTTAAAAACGTTTATGGAAGTTTTCACCTACCTCAGAGCTTCCTTATTTGATTTTGAAATCGGCAGCCTAAAAACAATATTTTTAAGGATAAAATGTCAAAAATTGAGGAAAGAAAAAAAAAACTAGGAACATTTTTTAAATCTTTTTTCTTCTTTTAAAAAAAAATCTTGGCACTCGGCAAGCGGGAAGTTACTTAGCAAGGTTCCGGGTTCCCTCCTGCCCCGCCCGCCAGCCCGCCCGCCCGCCCTACCACAGCTTTTCTTCCCCGGGTCGGTCTGTCCTGCAGAGTGCAATCCTTGTCCATCCTCGCGCGCTCTGCCCGTCTGCAGCGCGTCTGCCGCGCGTCTGCCATGCTCTCCTGACTCCGCCCCTCATCTGTCCGGAACCACCTCGCGACTGAGCTGACCTAGTGCACCTCTGCCAGTCAGTCCTTCCGGACCTGCTGCGAGTCTCAGGCTGCCGAAATCACCACGCGTCACTCGGTCCGTACCCACTGGGCATCTTGGGTATCTGGGCGGTCTCCGGCGCCCCGCGCTTGTGTCTGTCTGTCTCTCTGTCCGATCCGCCGGCGGCAGCCTGCCTGCCGGCCCTCACACGCCGAATGTCCAGTCTTCGCTGTCGCTGACGCTGAGTCTGTGCAGCGGCCTTAGCTGCTAGACCGCCTGTGGCCGACCGGGCAGCCGGCGGAGGAATACCCATTTTCTCGGCCCGTGCCCCTGTTGCTATAATTTTAAGCCAACGGGAGCTCACGGCCTATATCTAAGCGAAAAAGAAAAGAAAAGAAAAAGAAAGAGAGAAAGCAGAAAAGAAAGAAAGAAAAAAAACGGGTAGAGAGGCCCTCTGTCAGCAATGCTCAGTGTGGGGAGCCAGACAGCTGCTTGATGATTTCTTAGAATTTAACAGGGAAATGTATTTCCTACTACTATCTTTTGAAACTGATTTTAAATATGAATGAGTGGAAATTATAATGTCCTTTAAGGATAAAAGCTTCGCTGTTGGTGGGGGGCGGGTGGAGGGGGGGATGCTTTTTGTTTTATGTGTTTGTTCTGAGCTTGCTGACCAGCTGTTTCCGAACTTCATTTTCTCAGCCTCATCGCTGATTCTGGGTCGGCTTCTATCTTCCTTTCGCACTGCCTTTTTCTGTTCCTGACCATAGCTTAGAGAAAGCAGCTCTCTCTCTCTCTCTCTCTCTCTCTCTCTCTCTCTCTCAATCTCAATCTCTCTCTCTCTTTCTCTCTTTCTCTCTCTCTCCTCTCCTCTATTTCTTCCTGGCCTCTTTCTCCTTTCTCTCTCCTCTCTCTCTCTCTGTGTCTCTCTCTCTCTCTTTCTCTCTTCCCAGACAGCAATCTCCTGGTACTCAGAAAGATGGGAAGTGGGGAGCCTAATCCTGCTGGTAAGAAAAAGAAGTACCTAAAGGCTGCTCTATACGTGGGTGACTTGGATCCAGATGTCACTGAAGACATGTTATATAAGAAGTTCAGACCTGCTGGCCCTCTGCGTTTCACCAGAATCTGTCGTGACCCTGTGACCCGCAATCCTCTGGGCTATGGCTATGTTAACTTCCGTTTTCCTGCTGATGCAGAGTGGGCACTGAACACCATGAACTTTGATTTGATTAATGGCAAACCATGCCGCCTTATGTGGTCTCAGCCAGACGACCGCTTAAGAAAATCTGGAGTTGGAAATATATTCATCAAAAACCTGGACAAATCCATAGACAATAGGGCCCTTTTTTATTTATTTTCTGCTTTTGGCAACATTCTCTCCTGCAAAGTCGTATGTGATGATAATGTTTCTAAGGGTTATGCCTATGTTCACTTTGACAGCTTAGCTGCGGCCAATCGGGCCATCTGGCACATGAATGGAGTAAGACTTAACAACCGCCAGGTGTATGTTGGCCGATTCAAATTTCCAGAAGAAAGGGCAGCTGAAGTAAGAACCAGGGATAGAGCAACTTTCACCAATGTTTTCGTTAAAAACTTTGGAGATGATATGGATGACGAAAAACTGAAGGAGATTTTCAGTGAATATGGGCCAACTGAGAGTGTTAAGGTAATAAGGGATGACTTTGGGCAGTCTAAAGGCTTTGGATTTGTGAGATATGAAACGCACGAGGCAGCCCAAAAAGCTGTGCTAGACCTCCATGGAAAATCCATTGATGGGAAAATCCTATATGTAGGGCGAGCACAGAAGAAAATTGAACGCCTGGCTGAATTAAGACGAAGATTTGAACGGTTAAGATTAAAAGAAAGAAGCCGGCCTCTGGGGGTGCCAATCTATATTAAGAACCTAGATGAGACCATTGATGATGAAAAACTGAAGGAGGAATTTTCTTCCTTTGGATCAATTAGCCGAGCCAAAGTTATGCTGGAAGTAGGGCAAAGCAAAGGGCTTGGGGTCATTTGCTTCTCTTCCTTTGAGGAGGCAACCAAAGCAGTGAAGGAGATGAATGGTCGTATAGTGGGCTCTAAACCAGTGCATGTCACCCTGGGCCAAACCAGGCGCAGGTGGTGAGAAAAAGAATTTTCTTTGTTTCAGCCTTAAACTGATGCCTGCTTAGTTTGGGCTACTTTGTGATAAGAGTTTATTTTATGCCAAACCCAGTTTGTTTGCTTTTTTTAAGTGGATGCTTTCTTTTGGAAAAAAAAAAAAACTAGAAGACTTTGTTTGTTTTAGTGAAGAACATAATTTCTAATTTTAAAATTGTCATTTTGTACTATTTTTTATATAATATCCTTAGGAATTCTTAAAATAAAGTTTATTCCTCCACTCATTTTTCTGAAAAATAGTCAATACTATAGATAAGTATATTTCCTTCCTTATTTCAGAAATAAGACCATACTTAGTTACTTCTATAAAAATGTTATCAAAATGAATTTTAGGAATATATCACAGTGAAAGCATTTAGTTTGCTTTAAAAATGTCATTGGGGGTATGTATATTATCCAATTTACATTTTTGCATAATTTCATTTTAAATTACTATTTAAAATTGATATACTTTTAAAAACATGTTTTCCTCTTCCCTTTATTTATGATTTTAATAATATATTATTATTATCTTTATTTGGGGGCCACACCTGGCAGTACTCAGGGTTTACTCCTGGCTCTATGCTCAGCAACCATTCCTGATAGTTCTCGGTGGATCATGTGAGGTGTGCCAGGGATTGAACCTGGGTCAACTGTGTGCAAGGCAAGCACCTTAACCCAAAACTGATACCATCTTTTAATAAGTGTTGGGGATTTTCTTTACTAAGTTTGTGCCCAGAGAAGTAACCATATTAATGTTTTCTCAATACTTTAGAAATTTAATATTAAAAGGCAATTATTATTTAAATTTTGAGTTACATCTTAAAAACCTTTCCTGAGATATTCAGCTAACTAAGAAAGAATAATAACTGTACTGGGTTAACTTTACATTTGGATACTTTTAAGATGTTTTGCCTTCAACTTTTAATAAGTTTCCAAATGAAAGATAAATATTCCATTTAATGATATTTAAAAGCAACTGTGACAAACATCTATTGAACTTGCCATTACCTTTAAATTGTTGAATATACCCTTGTGATAATATTCACAGATGTCTTGAAGTTAAGAAAACTGTTACTTCTCAGTTAAATCACATGGCTCCATCTATTACATGAGTGTTATTAATCCAATATAGTTCTCTTTATGTATGGCTGCTTGGATGTTTTAACAAATGCTATGGTCTACATTGTAGTTGCATTATTTAGTGTGTAATTTCTATATTACACTTACTATGTGTTTCACTTACAGTTCCCTCCTGCTTCCAACTACTTTCTATCTGTATGTCAATTATTCTTATGTGTTTTTAGATGTTTTTAGATTACCTTTATTTTAATATATGCCAGTTCAAATCCAATTTTACTGGAGAAATAAATTGTAAAATTTAAGTAATTACTTTTTAAAAATAGGACTCATTACAGATCCATCTATAATAATGTTTTGTCTCTACTCTGAGTGGTCTTTTTCTGGCTTATGTAGAATGTTTGCTTCATACATAATATTACATAAATATATGATTTTGTTAGTATTTTTGTCAGCTATTTACCATATAGTGAAAAAAGCTGTTTCTGTGTGATTATTGAGCTGCAAAGGTCATTATATTTATTATCAAATATTTCAAAATGTAAACCGCTGTTTTGATGGGTTATAAACAAAATAGATATTCATTGAAAATATATACAATGCAAAATTTATAAATAAGGAAGTACATTCCCACAGTTCAGAGATAGTCAGCGTTAATATTTTCTTTCTTCTTTCCGTTTTTGGGCCTTATCCCAGTTGTGCTAAGGGGCTACTCCTGACTCTGTAATCAGGGGTCACTCCTGGCAGTGCCAGGTATTAAACCAGGGTAGGCAGCATGTAAGAAAAGTGCCGTAGCTCTGAATTATCTTTGGGCCCACTGTTGACATTTTCAATGCATGAAATCATTCTTTTCTTTTTTTCTGTATATGCACATACTTTTACCAAAAATACTATATATATATATAGTTACTTTTTACATTTTTCAGTGAGAACATTGCTTCATGTTAATAAATTAATCTGTATCATCATTTTAATGATAGCATAGTATTCCAGTATGTACTAATGCTTATCAAAGTGGTTCATTAACAAATATAATTTGTTTTTACTGTATTTTATATTTGTAAATAATGCTGTGACAAACCTTATTGCTTAAAATCAGTGTTATATGGACTTGAGAAAAATTATCTAAAGCATGCAAAATATTAAATCTACTAGAAACATTAAAATGCACATATTGGTATATGTATCAAAATTTTGAAACACATTGAAGATACATTCATTGAAATTTAAAAAAAAAAGCTCAAAGCTAATGTGAAATAATTTTCCTATGTGTGGGCCTACTTGCTTTACACCATTGTGACCATTAAAAGTATATGAAAATAATGCAACTCTGAATAAAATTTAAAGGAGTTACATTGGTAGTTATTTATCATATGTGCTTTATGTTATTTTTAACTCATTGCCAGGTTTTATTTAAATTTATAAATCGAAGCTTCAGTGTTAACCTATAAACTTTACAAATGCTTTGACTCAATATAAATATAAACATTTCTAGAAGGTAAAAATCATCTAGTATAAGAATACATTTTTTGAACTATGTTATTACTCATTTTTAAATTTTCAACCAGTATGAGGACAACATAAAATATGCCAAAAGTATATTAAATAGACATGCTAGAACACTGTATCCCGTTGAAACAACTATGAGTTAACTTGGGAAAATGCAGGGGGAAGTTTAAAAGAAAGATAATCTCTATTTGAACACAAACACCTGGTTTACTTTTTAATCATAAGCCTTTTTAGCTGTATTTAATTGATTCTAAATAGTTAAGGTTTCCAAGGAGGAGTAAAACAACTGAACTGCTTAAATCAGTAACAAAGAATTTTTTAAAAGGTTCATTAATAAGCAAAAGATACTTTTTTAAAAATCTAAGTATGGCTATAATCTCAATTGTAAGTTTAAGAATAGACTTTTGATATGCTTTTGTTTGTGGGGACAGGTCTGCTTTTTTGTTTTTTCTGGGTCACACCCAATTGTCCTCTGCACTCAGGGATCACTCATGACCAGCTCAAGGGGCCATATATAGTGCTGGAAACCTTCCCCTCCGACCCTTTCTACTTTTTGTTCTAATATTTTAAATTTTTTGGCTTTTAAAAATCACTACTTATACAAATTTTAAATGTTCCTATGGAGAAGAAAATTAGAAAAGCATTCCTTTGTGGTTGCATATAGACAATTAAAATTTATATTAGAAGGGTTTTTCTGTATAGAATGCTTCACACATACTTATACCTCTCTGTAGGTGGATATAGGAAAAGTGAAATGTTACATATCTATGTGATAGTTTTACTTTTGCTTTTTAACCATTTTATTGAAATACCATGATTTACAGTACTGTTAATCGCACTTTTTTTACACACACCATTCAACACTGCATTCATCACCAGTGAGCACATTTCCCTCCACCAGTGTCCCAAGGACTCCTAACAATCCCTGCACCACCATAAAAGCTTAGTTTGATAGACAAAATCTTCCATTTTGTTGACTTTGACCATTTGTTGCTTTACTATATTTATTTTTTTATCCCACATATGAAAGAGATTTCTTAGTGTGTGTGTGTGTGTTAGGTTGTGATAACTATACAAGCATAAATTAATAGAGATAATCTCCTGAAATTCCACAAAACTATAAATAAATGATATATTAATAATTTTTTTCAAATCCTAAATCCTTTTCTAACTAAATTTTATATCTTGCTTCACTAATAAAAACAATATTTTAGATCTATATAAATTTAAAGAATGAGTATTATAAATAATTTTTCTTTACTGGTTCTTCATCAAATTCACCTTCCTGTTTCTCAGGGACTCTGATAATTCTTAACTTTTCCTCTGGAGCTCATTCCATAGTTTTCTTGTGTGCTGTTCATTTATTTTTAGACATTTAAAAATCTCCTCATATGAGCTTTGCTCATTGAGCTTGGTTTACATCTCTGCGTCTTCCCATTGGTTTTCCTTTATTCCTGATGTGCTGAGGGGTGTCATTTTGGTTAATCCCCCTGGGAGACTCTTAAGAGATTACACTGAGAGTTGTTCTTTTCCTTCCGTGATCATCTTCACATACAGTCAGGAAGTATAACTGTGAATAATGTGAAATTTGCTGAGTGGAACTGTAATTTGCTGAGTAGTGCTTAAAGAGCTGTCACATAGACCTGCTAATGTGGCATAGGTTGGGTGTGGAAGCTGCTGGGACCTAGCCAGAAGGAAGCTGTTCTGCCTCCTTTTACAAGTAGGGCCAGTGATGTCAACCAGTGATAAATCTCACAAAGCATAATGTGGCATGGGTGAATTCATATGGTGGAATTTGGCTATTTATGTGATATTTTACCCCGGTAAAACAAGAATTCTTACTTTTATAAGAAGTTGCTTAGGAATGGAATGAACATCATCTTACCTATAAACAAATTGTCTTATTTAAGGGAATGGTCAGAAATGAATCAATAAGGGACTGGAGAGAGATGAGACAAGTGTTCCAACACCTATTCCAGTGCCTAGATTATGATGAGCACCCCACAACTACTTGAATGCATAATCTATAGAATATTCCATTTAGAGCTTTAAATTGTAGTATTTGACAGATTAAGTACATTTTTAAATGATCTTGGGTTTTTTTGTTTGTTTGTTTGTTTTTGCACCATTACCTTGGTGCTCAGGGCTGATATCAAGTTCAGTGCTTGGAGGTTGTTCTTTGTGAGCTTTAGGAACCATGCTGAGTCAACCATGTATTCTGCATGCAAGACTTGTTTTATGGCCTTTTGAGCTATCTCACCAGCACAGAATAGCCATTTTAATTCAATTTCATCCAATGAAAAAAATTGATAAAGTATTAGCAATATAGATTGATGCTCACAACACAGTGTTACTGGTAATGCAGAATCATATTTATAGTGTTCAGATGTTGACATTGCTTTAAAACTACTTGTGCTAGTTTTGCATTTTTTTGGTTGCATGTAATTGATGACCCTGTTTCAGACAAAGCTTCTGGTATTTGACATTTTATAAATAGAAATATATTTGAGTGACAGTTTAAAAATTAATAGAGAAGTGCTGAGATATAGTATGGAGTTACGGTGCTTGCCTTGCACTCACATGATCCACGTTCAATCTGCAACACATTGCATGGTCCCCTGAATTCCAACAGTAGTGCTGAGTACAGTCGTGTGTGGCCCATAAACCAAAATTACAGTAATAGTTTTGGTTTGAGGGCCACACCCAGGCACTTCTCAGGGATTACTCCTGCTCTGAGTTCAGAAATTATAATGGGGGCTTAAGCAATAGCACAGTGGGTAGGATGTTTGCCTTGCATGCAGCCAACCCAGTTTCGATTCCCAGCATCCCATATGGTCCCCTGAGCACTCCAGGGGTGATTCCTGAGTGCAGAACCAGGAGTAACCCCTGTGCATCACCAGGTGTGACCCAAAAAGAAAAAAAAGAAAACGGGAGGAGCTTGGGGGAACATACTGGATGCTTAGGAGGGCCCTACCTGCTGTGCTGTTGTTCAAGA